TCTAAAATTTAAGTCGAAGAATGCATTAGATTAGGGAGACCATGATAAAAAAACATGGCGAAATATCTTAATTTTCACATAAATATGGCTATATACGACATAAATATTTTTTAGATACGAACTCATACTAATAGTTGGAACACGGGTTGGATCGGGTTCTACGGGTTGTGTAATCCAAAATCCAAACCCAACCCAAAAGAGGCGGGTTGCACAAAAGAAAACCGTCACCCAACCCAAAACCTTCGTTTTAGCGATAAATACGGGTGGGTTGGGTCGGGTTGGACGGGTGGGTCGGTTTGCGGGTGTGTTTGTTCACCCCTAGTTCTTTGTATTTTGGTATTGGATGAGGGAAGAGGGAGGTGTGCGTGGCATTTCTTGCATGGCTAGCTAGCCAGAAGAGAAGACAATATGGTTGAAATAATAGGTTATATAACCATATTCGCTGTGATTTGTAGGTATGCAGAATAATAGGGATATATAGTCGATTTAAGAGCTCATAAGATTTTTTTTTTTTTTGTGTGTGTGTTGTTTTATGTTTTGCATGGTAATTTTAATTTTTGTGTTTGACTCTTGACGGAGTTGTAAATGTTGTATCTTTTAATTTATTAAAAATATTCATAAAACCCAAATAAGTATATATAAAATATAGGCGGCGTATTCAGTGCGCCCACATTTTTTGGTGCATTCAATGCACTCGCCTCATAATCATCATTCCGAGAATGGGATCCATGTCAAAACGGTATCAATCGTTGCTTATGATATTATGAACAAGAAACACGTGAATTTGCAAAAAAAAAACAATTAATTTTAATTTGAAGAATTTAGGATTTAGTGATTTAGGGTTTAGGTTTAGGTTTAGGTTTACAATTTGGGGTTTTGGGTTGGGGTTCAAAATTGAAGGTTAAGGGGTTGGGATAATGGATTGATTAATTGTGATTCTATATTATGTCATCATATTAGACTAATGCTACCAATTACAGTTTAAAATTCGATGTATTATGAACGAACAAGGGATTGGTCTAGTGGTAATACCACTAGTCATGAACCTGGAGGTCCCAGGTTCGAGTCCCTTCAGTAGTACCTAATAACAAAACAAAAAAAACATATATCACCCTTATCTAAAAAAAAAAAAAAATTCGATGTATTATGAGCACTTTTGAAGTTGGATGCATTGAGTATATTCAAAAAAGTGAGTGCCCGAAATAGCCACGATAAAATATAATTATGAATTTAATTACATATCACGTCTCTTGGTTTTTACACTTTGGGGAGTTTGGTGTTTGTTGTGACCAAACGGGTAATGATGGACAAATGATCAAGCAGTAAACCGGCCGCGGCCGGCCACCACTACCACACCAATAAGACAAAGCCAAGCAAAATCCAAAAACCAACTTCCACTCCATTAAATTCTTAATGGCAATTCTTCTTTTGCAACAACATATGCTAATGATGAAATGTATTGAAGAAAAACGTCATGTCACAAACCTGAATAAACCATTTTTACAATAACAATACTTAATATTGCGTTAGAAGAGAAAAATTAATAATTATAACATCTCATTTCACTCAACTATAAAGAAGGTCGGTCGTCCTGTCTATGCTAGATTCTCAATTTTCGATGTAGACAATACACTCTAGTTTAAAATCATGATCAACCATCCCGTCAAAAAAAAATCATGATCAACATGCAGAAACATTGTGACATCTCATTTAACTAAACAGTCTACAGTTTTGAGTGTATAGAATACAATACTCTCGCTTGAAACATAATTTTTTTTATTTCGAACAATGGTTTAATTCAGTGATAGTACCACTAGTTTCTGTTGGGCCTAGTAGGAAGACACACAGCCCGTGAGCCCAAGGAGGATTCAGGGCCCATGTAAGAACGAGTAATGCCCAAATCAAGGACAGTGGGCGAGGGCGGTCCCTATGTTCCATACAATGAGACCGCCCGACATCTGGGGAGGGCGACGACCAAAAACCGCCCGACACTCTGGCTTCACGATACAGAATCTGACAGGAAGACGTTAGCAAAGCCAGAGGCGCCCTAGACCGCCTGACAATGCATTAAATGCCCACGGCCGAGCCGAGACTAGTATAAATACCTTTGGAAATGCCACATTTATGGTAACTCCTATCGACTACATTCTCTCTCTTATTTACTCCACATTCACTTCTCTCTCTAACTTTGGCATCAGAGGAGGTCCCCAGGAAAACCCCTGTGGACCTTTCTTGCAGGACTTCGAGGACCGCCTCTCACCTACGAAGGACCGCACGAAGCCGGTGAAGCCTCACAAAACGGCCTGGTACGAATCAGGCATAAACAGTTTCAAACTCCAAAATTTTAAATTCGAATCCCTTAAATAAAACTCAACTTAAAAAAAAGGGCTAATACCACTACAACACCCGAACTATCCGAAAAATGTCACTTGTGTCCTATTGTTTCCAATATTCCATCTGTGTCCTGAACTATTTTTCCGTTAGTGTTGACCAGCATTGACCGTTAGTATTTAACAGAAATCCTAGTCAGCGTTGATGTGGCATCTGACGTGGAATTTTAGGCCCAATTTTTATTTTCTTTTTCTAAAAAAAATTATTAAAATTAAAAATTAAAAATAAAGGCTCCATCATTCACCCCTCTTTCCCAGGTCCCTGTCGTTTCTGGTTTCGGTGCCTGTCGATTCTTATTCCGCCGGTCGCCGGAGATCAATGGACGGCCACTACACAGAACCATCGCAAGCTGCTGTCGATTTTTTCATCTTTCTTCAGGCAATCTCTCTCGCTCCACATCTCCCATCTGCATCTATCTCTCTACCTTGCGTCGCGGTCAATAAATCCTTCACCATCCAATCAATCTCTCCCTCTTGTGCCATATTCGATCTGCTTTTCTCCTATCCCCTAGCTCTACACAGATCTATTTTTTGTTTCTTTTCCCCTTGTTCAATATAGCTTGTCTAAAAAGAAGGTACAAATGAGACCCATAATGAATCAATCCCAAATCTTTTCCCCTTGTTGCTCTATTTCTGGCGACTTGTCCGCCGCCAGTCCTCCTGCCCAGTTGCAGCAACGAGCGCGACCCGGTTCGGATTCCGACTACGAACTGGCAGACTTCCTCTCAACGGCGGCCGCAAGGTCGAAGAGCTACATCTCAGATCTAGAATTCGCGTCACGGATCAGTGGACGGCATACACGCTGGTGAGAGCTTTGGGTGGAGAGAGACGATCGACGAAATCCGGCCCCGACTGCGACATCAATCTTCTCTGGATCTGACCAAACGGCGGTAGGAGTCGACGGGAAAGCACCTAGCAGAGAGAAGAGAGACGATCGATGAAATTAATGGTTTTTTTTTGGGTTTTAGAATATTATTTAGTAATATTCTTGAATTTAAAGGTTTTTCAATTTTTCAATTTTTTTATATTTAAATTAAAAATGTGAGGTGTCAATGACTTGGCATTGCCACGTCAGCAAAAGTCAAAGTTAAGTTGACCGCCGTTTGGTCAACTGTTATGTTTAACGGTCAACGAAATTGGCAGGATAAAAATGACACAGAATATAATAGTTCAGGATATGAATGGAATATTGGAAACAATAGGACACAAGTGGCATTTTTCGGATAGTTTGGGTGTTGTAGTGGTATTAGCCCTAAAAAAAATTACGTACCTCAACTTGACTGGGATTTGATTTATGAAATGAAGTGAGATGCTTATTGGCTATATATGTATATGGCCAATACCCAATTTATCTCCAACATCAATTCCAACTCTTAAATTCTTTTATGGAATTTGCTTCATTGTATATGCCACAAGAATATGGGACCCTGTTTGTTAGTTGGTTAATAATAAGTGATTCTTGATTGCAGTTCACACGATTCATTGCCTCACAATTTAGTCATGAAGCTGCTGGTGAAAGCGACGATGGCCATATCTACACGATATGAAAAGTAAAGACGAGGTTACATGACTTAGCCTATTTCAAGTAAGTGTACCTGCCTTGGTTTACATTATGTAAGGAAGCTCTCATGGAAGCCGCCTTCTTCATAGCGGTTTATCCGCAACTCGATCGGCTATGTTCATTCGACATCGTATAAGGTAAGGTGTTGATTTGCGGTTTTTTGCGTGGTCGAGGTTTTCGACTTGTATTGGGCTCATTGTCATCCCTACTTGACGTGATGGTCAACGGGAGCTCATTTGGGGTGAGTGGAGAAATTCAAGAAGCTGAAAAATTGAGTGTCGGGGCCAACAAAAACAATGTCACCCACTCAACGGCGTGAACACTCTCATGGTTGTGAAAGCTGGAGAAATGAAGAAGGTTTTGATCAGATAGACGATAGGATGAATGATCTATGGTTTGTTCCAATCACGTTTCGATCTATGTTAGAGGGTTTCGACCCTGAGCAACATCTCTTCTTCAGTGGTCCTCCCTTTTAGGTACTTGTTGTTTCTTTCTTTATTTAGTTTAGTCTCGTTTAGTTGGTTAAAGCGTACCACGTTTGATTAACCAGATAGTGGTTCGTATTGAAGTTATAGTACACTAAAGAGTATCGAGGAACGCGACTTTAAGACCACTAATGCCATGTTGTTTGGCTAAGTTGTGCTTGTCTTGGCCAAACGTGGTAGCAGAACCGCACCACCCTTTCACTCGTTTGACAAAATCAAAAAACAAACCACCATTTTGTTGGTGGCATGAGGAAATAGTAACGAAACCAAGGCAAATGGAAGCAATCCAACTACGTTACTAATGTACATTTGGCGAAGAAGCCAATGGGTAAGATTTTTCAGCTAAATGGGCTTATAGCTCTCGGAGACTGAAAATGGGAAGCCCATATAGTTAAGTCATCAGATTTCAATAGAAAATGGGCTTGTCTGAGCCCATATAAGGCGGCAGCGGGCACCAGTTCTAACTTCTAATCCCGTCCATTTTTCTCCGTGCCGACTTCCGTTTAAACACACCCGACCCGAGTCAAATATACCTCACCCAGCAGAAATGGACTTTCCTGCTGGGCTGGGCTGGGCTGGCCCACTCGGCCCACAGTGAGGTAATGTTTCTCTTAGTTGATTTTCCACTCGCCAAACAGTTCCACCTTTTTTGTTCCCAAATTGGCTAATTACCAGTTCCACTTTCTTCTTCCCCTACCCTCTTCTTCTCCTTCCGAGAGCTGCATCACCTGCATCTTTTCGCCAAAAACCCCTCTGCAAAACTCTCTCTGATGACAATTGCCCTTTCCCTCCTCCATTTCCCTTCCTCCACTACTCGCCTCGACTCCTTCTCTTTTCTTCCTCTCCGCGCCCACCTCCCCTGAACATTCCATTCCCGCCGCCGTCAGAGAGCTCTTCTTTCCGGTAGAGGCGCCTCGGAATCAAACTCCTCCGTTGGTTCTGGGTTCCCTTTTCGTGGAGAGGGATTGATTGATGCCCGTTTTTCCTTCTTGATGATTCCGTTGGCGAGCTCGGTCAAAGGCATTTCGTGGTGCCTCATCCACCTCTTCAGCTTGGACTTCAGTTTCCTGGGAGTTGTGTCTGATCTGCTTTCGGATCTCCGTGGTATTGATTTTTCTGAGTTCTGGTCAGTTTTATCTACCGCCCACTTCCTGTTCGGAAGAATTATTTGAGTTGCTTCTCTCTCTTTAGTCTTACCCTTTGGCTCCCAAAACCTTGGGGTGGTAGGTGCTAGGGTTTGATGATCGGATTTTAGATGGATCGTCATTTCCGAGTCGATTATTAGCTGTTTAGAGCTCTTTTGAGCTGAAAGGTTGTTGATTCTGTCGCTGCCAGAGTTATTGCCGAATTTGGCCCGTTTTGTGGGTTTTGTTAGGTGATCACGGTTAGAGGCGGCCCTATTTGTTTGTTGAAGCGTGTATCCCTTTACGCTAGTGGAGGGGCTGAGGGAGGGTTACCCTTTTCCGATATTACTTGAGAAATCAATATTTGGTTTCATTTTAGGAGATGGGGCTCATATCCATTTCTGTGAAAATGAGCAACCATCAGCTATGTAATTAGTGTTGTTGATAGGTTTCTGGTGCTTTTTAAGGTAGTAATCGTACTGCCTGCAAAAAATGAGTGCAAAAGATAGGTTTTTTGTGGAATGGAAAGAACAATTTGTTTCACAAGAGCGTGGAAACCGCGTGGTTCACTATTTCCTGAAAGATTCTGCTGGGGAGTCCATACTGGCGATTGTGGGTACTGAGAGGAGTGTTAGACACATGTTCTATGTCGTTGCTGAGGAGTTTGTGCAAGCTTATGGTGCTGAAAACGCGATTCATACTGGCTTTAAATGGAGGTCGAGGAGAGAGGTTGTAGATTGGCTTACATCTATGCTATCAAAGCAGAATGTACAAGGCGATCATTCCAGTACGTATTTCTGATATCGGTCTATTTCTTCCCTGCATTTTTAGGGGTTGGGTGTCAAATCTACTAAATATGCTCCTTCATAACAAGTTGTGATTCTCTTGGCTTGTCAAATCTTTGAGCTGGGCTATGTGTGTGGCAGAGTTGCAAAAATGTGATCTAGGACAAGCTTTGGAATCACAAGACTTTCCTGTGACTAGTTCTGGTGGACAACATACGCAGGTACCATATTGAAAGTTAACTCAATACTCTTTAGCTTGCTGTGCGAAATTCCTTGATGTCTGTCGTGCATGTCAATTGCAGGGTCGACACTTGAGGATTGTGAATGGACATCGTTCAGAAATCGTATGGTCTGGAGTTGCTTGGACTTGTGGGAAACAGCTCAAGCATTTCCCAGCATTTTGCAGGAATGGAACAACTATGGCAGTAAGTATACATTCTGAAATTACTAAGTGAAAATTGTGAAGAATTACCCTTGAATCTGCAAGTAAATTGAAACGATCTCTTTTTATTAAACTGGAGCAATTTTACATCAACTCTTTGTCTAAGGTGTTACACTAGATGTTTGGTGCATGTTTTTATTTCGGTGAACCAGCGAACTGGCAAGAGCTTTCATCAATCGCGAACTGACCCAAAACCTTGAGCTTTATAGTGAAATCTGAAACTGTGTCATTCAAAAGAAGATCAAGCAGGGAATAATTTACTATTTCAGTTACATTTCGGAATTCAAAGTTTCACTCATTGCAAATGGCACTTCTGAAAAATATGTAGTCTCTATGTTTCTATCATTGGTGAACTTAATACGTCTCATCAAAATCTGTCCATCTATGGCGGGTTTGGGACCATCTCATGTTCTCTCTAATGTCAGTGCTATTGCCTTGCTACTAATTAAGTGTTACAACGCCAGGCTCAATCATTCGTCTTTGTGATGGCTGAAGGAGAGAATCATTATGTTGCCTATTTGGAAGACATGTATGAAGACAGGAGGGGTCAGAAAAAAGTCAGAGTAAGATGGTTTCACCGTAACCAGGAAATCAAGGGTATGGCTCCTCTTCGAAGTGCTCATCCGAAAGAAATTTTCATGACACCATATTCACAAGTCATTAGTGCAGAGTGTGTTGATGGTCCTGCCACTGTTTTAACTCGTGAACATTATGAGGAATGTGTAGCTTCCATTCCTAGTTCGTTTTCAGCCAGGATTCATTTATGTTTCCGACAGTTAAGGAGCAATAAAGTAAAACCTTTTGATTTGAGTAAGCTTCGTGGCTACTTTGATCAACCCGTTCTCTCTTGCTTGAGTTCAAAGCGTTTTCTTGAGGCCGGCGACACTGGACATGACACAAATGGTGAAGAAGATGAAGAGTTCAGTGCAGGCGAAAATGTAAAACTGGGAGTGAAAAGGGCCAGGATCATTGAAGAGCGTAGAAATATCGAGAAGGATGGCAGCCAGATGGCTGGTTTTCAAGCATTCTACTCGGCTTTAAAACCCGGGATTTCTGGCAAGCGACTGCTTCCTCTGAATAATGTTGAGCTTAATCCTTGGAGCACTCCACTATTCAATGTTAATGAGAAGATTGAACATTTATGCCAAGATAGTGGGATAAGGGGATGCTGGTTTAGGTGTACAGTTCTGCAGGTTTCCAGAAGACAAATAAAAGTTCGATATGATGACTTGCGGGACGAAGAGGAGTGCGGAAACCTTGAGGTATGTTTAAGTTTATGGTACTGGCTTAATTGTACATAAAAAGATCGGTAATGCTGGAAAAGTTTTGTAACTTGTCACCGAATGTGAACAATTGAATATTCAGTTCACTTGGAATAGCCTTGACCCTTGCAAGGGCCACAGCGTACTCAGAACTTAGATGGTTTTGATATGTGCTATGCATGTTGTTTTCCTTATTCTGTTTACTAGTTGATATTTGCAGTCATGCTTACTGGTTACCCTAAAGAAAAGAGAAGAAAGGTAGGAGAAACAAAAGCCTCAACCATTGCATACTTCAATTTGACAACAACAAAAAAACATTGCATACTTCAAAATTTGAAAATGTCCATTATTAGTTTATAATCGTGCATGCCTAATATGAAATATATGAACAGTTTGCCTAACCGTGTATATCCAAGCTCCCCTTCTTTTAGTGGAAGTTTAACTTATTATCAAACTCTTTTCAGGAATGGATCCCAGTTTTCAGATTGGCGGGGGCTGATAAACTTGGCATGAGACGTTTAGGCCGCCTAACTATCCGGCCAGCGCCTTCAGACAAAGAAACAAACCTGACCCTTGAGGTTGGGTCTGCGGTTGATGCTTGGTGGAGTGATGGCTGGTGGGAGGGTGTTGTGACCAGTGTTAACAATACCAGCAACGATGTACAAGTTTACTTTCCTGGTATGATTATTGTGATTGGACGGTCGTAGGTTATAACTTATAACTTATAACTTGAGCTCCTCTTCTATTCTTATACCGAGTTGCTTTCCTCTATCCAGGTGAAAAGTTTGTTTTGAGCATGCAAAGAAATTATATTAGAACCTCCCAAGATTGGGTGGATGATCAGTGGATAGACATTCAGCCAAAACCAGACATACTCTCAGCAATATCCGCAACTATAAAATTGCCCATTTGCTCAACTACCGCAATGGGCAACAGATGCAACGACACACCTGCACCCTGTGCTGAAAATTATCAAACAGATAATATTGAAGATGAAAAAACTGCTGAAACTACATTGATAAGCTCTGATGGTGTTGAGGAAGATATGGACTCTGACAATCTTAGCCAGCCTACATCAATTGACGAACCTATGGAATGTGGTGATGGTAGACAGTCTATACCGAGTGACAAGGGCCGTGCAGATTGTGTTGATGATATTTCAGCCAATAATAACAGTAAAGAAGAGGATGAGAATCCGTCCAATGACAGTGTTCCTCCAGTTGATGGAGTTGCTGACATGGAAGTTACTAATGAGGTTGTGGAGAAGAAAGTTGGTGCTGATGATAACAGCAGTGAGAAACTGGAGATGGAGGTGTTTCCTTCTTCTGGTAACAATTGCAAGTCTATAGAACTCATGGAAGTCTCGTCATAAACTTCGATACTGCTTCTGCTGGCCTTGGATTGTGATGGAGCTCCTGGTTTGCATATAGTTGGTTGAAGGGTTCCACTTGGATGCTCTATGTAAATAGCGACTACTGATATGGGAAATACTAAAACTGATTTTCCCGTCTGGCATTCAATAGAGATCATAAATCTACAGATTGGTGTAGGGTTAGATATATGTTAGATTCTTGTGGTAGATTTGTAGTGTACAAAGATGGGGGGATTCAAGCTTTTTGATTGTTTTGGTCAAAAGCCCTCCATATTGATGAGTCAGGATTCTAAGTCTTGTCATTAGCTCAGTTATGTTGTGTTAAATATGTGTATCATATATGTGTTCAGTCTCCCATCTAATATCAAGGTAAACTTACATTACTTCCTATTTCTTTGCAACTATACAAAAGAAGTGTGCCTGCCCTGTACTTGTCTTTCTAAAAATGTGACAGAATCCCCTTAAATGGGAGGAGAAGGGAAGGAATGAAAGAATAACCAGCTGAAAGAAAGAAGGGGAAGAGCTACAGTCTCAGCCATTGGTGTCCATCTATGAATCTCAAGTCCAAGAAGGGTTTGACTTGCTGAAAATTCAAGCGGGTTTTTGACCAAGGTACTCTCCTACTTGTATCTGCTCCTCTTCCCATGCATCTGTACTCTCCGAAAACTGCAGTTCTGCAAAACACCCAAGCACAGCGGGCATTCGTCGTTAGTAAGGGGAGTAGATAGTTATATTAGTGAGAAGAAGAAATGGCAAACAAGTGATTGAGTTGTGTTCTTGTTGGAGGGTTAGTAGTACTTACTGTCGCCTGCTAGGTTGGTTAAAGTCACCCCATCCTTCTGGTGTGATCATGTCCTGAATATTGCAGTAGGAATAGATGACCCTTGAATAGTTGCCCCATGCCCTACCCAGCAGAATCTTCCCAGTCCCTTTGATCAAGCAACCGACGAACGAGAAACCACTGTCCTCCTCCGCCGCATCCCTGTGATGTGCTGCGATTGCTCCGCCATGCCCGTGCTTGGCTCTCGACTCCACCACACAGTCGCGGAACAGCGTCCTGCCCCGGCCAAAGATGAAATCAATGCTGCCCAGAATGTGACACTGGTAGTAGTAATGCGATCCGGCGTCGTCCAGCAGCGTGTCCTGTGAACCTATGATCTTGACCTTGTAGAAGAATGCTTTGTCCCCTGAAATCCTCAGCGCCACTGCTTGATTTCCATAATCTCCTGGAACTGCCACTACCGTGTTCTGACAAATAAAAAACAAAGTCATTAGGTCAACCTCGTGTTCTTCAGTTTATGGAACCCTGACAAAGAGCAGAATCGTGATGTTCTTTCTCCTGGGGTTTGTTGCAAGAATTTCTAATAAATACCTCGAATGTGATCCCTGTGGCGCAGAAGAAATCAGAGTAAACGCTAACTGACGCAGTACTGAAAGTTCCGAGCTCCATTCCTTTCGAGTCCAAATCAGAAGCTCTGTTGTGCCATGTTATCACTGTGTTGGACATGTTGCCTTCGTCCCCAATCAACGAGATGTACGGCTTGGTAACCGGCACAACCACCTTCTCCCTGCGTATAAAAGGAAAAGGGTGAGCCACTAAACCCTATTTTGATGCTAAAACCAGGACAAGTCATGTGAGTCACCATAGTCTTTAGTAACCACCACAGAACCCACAAAGGTAACCACTTTCTTAGCTTACACCATTCTATTTCACGCCCCCCACTAACCCATGAAAGTAGCTGGTGAGAGAGAAGCTAAAAAAAGAAACCAACTTCTCTTTTCCCCCCACTCTGTTTTTGTTTTGAACTGAAAACAGAGCATATCCAGATAAAACAAGAAAACCAGAGAACTAGTCGAATCACTGACCTGTAGATTCCGGGGAGAATGTGGATCTTAACCCTCTGAGTGTTGAATTCAGGGACCAAATCCACGGCGCCTTGAACAGTGACGGAATCCCCGCCGCCGTTCTGGTCAACCACGATCACTCTGCTTCCCCTGTAATATTCCTCGCCGTAACTCGGCCTCGCCTCCCCCTGCTGCTGCTGCTGCTCAGTACCGTTGTCAAAATCAAAGCTATGACTATAAGCATCCAGCCTCGCGTCATCCCAACTTATGAACTTCCTATCAAACGTCTGCATCTCCTCCCCTGCCGCAGCACTACATGGCCCAACAAGCATCAGTACCACCGCCGCAACAACAACAAAAACAGAGCACTTCCCCAACTTCGCCATTATCAGACAATGTGGCAATTAATTAATCCTACTTATGATCCAACTACAGTAGCTACTCAGTCCAAGAAAGAAAACGACTTCTGAATCTGGGTTTGGCCGGCCGATCGGGGAGTATTGAGAAGTAATGGCTATGAAAAACGAGGGACAAAAAAAAACAGGGGAGAAAACAGAGCAAGTAGCGGAGGCAAAGAGTATGTTGTGTGTTAAATGGTTAGATGATTAACCTTTGAGCTATCCGATAATTAGTTCTAGAGTCTGTATATATAATGGAGGTCTTTTGGGGAGCTTTGTGTTAAACGAGTAGAAGAAGGAGAGATTAACTAAGGTCTCTTTTTTCATGATCAGGTTTGGGTTAGTAATTGGTTTTCTTGTTAGATTAGACTTGGTAATAAAAAAACCAACGTGAGCTTAATCACGGATCAGAGGTGATTATGGAATAGCTAATCGTTTTCGGAGTAGTAGAGTAAGTAGTAACCGTTACCAAAAGGGAGACAATAAGACAGTGGGATACGTTTTATTTCAGGTTGGCAACTTGATCGTGTATTAAACAGAGAGTGGTGACTTGTAACTCAAGTTAATGAAGAATTGTATTGATAGGCAGACCATCGACTTATTTACTTGATCACTTAAATCGGGATGGTGTTACCGTCTTTATTAATTAAAGAAAGTTACACGATTCGATAAAAGAATGTTGAGAACTGGTCTGGTGATAACAAGAGAATGACAGCATCCACCGCAAAAATATTTTGAAAGATATGGACAAACAATCACCCTTACGAACAAAACAGAACTATTTAGAAATTCTTACTGGTAAGAATGCAACATTCTTGATCAAACCTTTCGCCTATATGGCAGGAAAGGAAAGCTTTTTATAAAATGAAAATGGCAAACGTATATTGAAACGTTATGACTTTACGACTGGAAAGGTTTGCGATTTTGAAATATCATACACACGTCATGAAATGTTGATAATATTGTGATTCGAATAACCAGATCTTGAACTTCATCGTCATCCATAATGTTTAAGATGACGTAGTGATAAAGTGGAGTAAAGGTGAAACCTGAGTTCAAAAGCCGGACTAGCAACATTATCCACACGGGTGCACCTTTAAAAAAACTTATGAAAACTAACATTGGATTATACACGATATTTTGGAAACATTAGGATTTTATAGTCACGAATATACGTGATGATGGAGCCTAATCGTGGTGAGAGTTTCAAGTTTCAACTTCTAGATATGGTTAGGAATATACATGGAAATTTTGTACTAAATTTGACAATTAAAGTAGTTGGTAACGCTTTAGTTCCCTTCAAAAGCGGTTCAAATCTCTATAGTTACCCGCCCTCACTAAGATTTCTGAAGCTGCCACTAAAGATACAAAATGACAAATAACACTAGTTGAGTATACATAAAATCGTGACATTTTCTATAAGCTTGAAATTCATGGCATATCATAAACTTGCTACCAACCATCAATTCTATCAAGGTTGTCAACCCGCGGGTCGACCCATTTTGATTCTAGCTCGATGAGAAAAACGGGTCGCACACACCCGGTCACCCGCTAGGTCGACCGCTACAAGGTACCGGGTTGAAGGTCAAATTTGTGTCATTTTTTCTTTGGTTTGCGAAATACGCCTATTTTCCGATTTTTCTTTTCGCCTAACTCAATCTTTGGAATCCTAAGTTGAACATTTGCATATTGATGTTGTAGAAGTGTGTGTGAATTTTCACTATATGTTGGATCTAAGTACAACATGTTATTTTGGTGTAATATTATATGTTATAACTCATATGTTAGATGATATTTGATATAATTTATCAGGATATTGATGTTGTAGAAGTGTGTGTGAATTTTCACTATATGTTGGATCTAAGTACAACATGTTATTTTGGTGTAATATTATATGTTATAACTCATATGTTAGATGATATTTGATATAATTTATCAGGATAAGTACAATATAATGACTCTTTCCATATTTTGGGGCTAAAACGGGTGACCTATTAACCCTTGACCCACTAGCTCGACCGGGTCTGGGTCAGCCCGCGGGTTGACGACCAAACCAACCACAAGCAAGTTCTTGGGCTTTCATTGGACAGTAAATGTCTGCGTAAGCCCAGGAATTTTGACCCAAATCTATCACTGGGCTTACAATCCAGTCCAGCCCAGAATCAATGCTCCCTCTTCTTCTCGAATATTTATTTTCGTTTAATGGGTTTCCTCATTTATTTTGATTTTTGAGTTTATTTTCACAACGAAAATCTAGAAAACAATTCGGATAACTCAATCCCGCAGGCAAAGGTTCGGCGCTTCCATTTCTGCAACAAAGAAGAAAGAAGAGAGTTAGCAATGGCGGCCACCTCTGTATCTGCGTCGTTGGTTTCTTCCCTGACGATCTCAAGCTCCCCTTCATTCGCCTCCAAAGCAACTCTCGCTTCAACAAAGTTCTCGTCTTTGCCATTTCCTTTATCTACGCTGTCCAAACCCTCGCTGCTGGGCTCATCTTCAAGCCGGGTCTTCGCCGCACCTGAGGCTTTGAATGCCCAGGAAACGCTAGACCCACCTTCAGAAACCTTTGATGACTCTGATTCCGCCACTCACGAGGTCCATTCTTGTCTATTTCGCTCTCTTTTGATAAGTGGATTTTTCCCCTCTTTATTTGGCAAAAGTTTGGGTTTTGGTTGATGGGAAGTGAAATGTGTGCTGTTCAATTGTTCTCACTGTTCACATCTTGAGAATTACGGGTTTGGAAAATGTGTTCATCTCAAACAATTCGCTTCGTGCATCCCTCTCCAATCATGTTCTTCTCTTACAGTTTGAATTTTGTGTTGTTCCGTGGATTTTATGGTTCAGTGTAGCTACCATTTTGTTGTTGGTATTCTTGTTTGTTCAACTGAACTGTCATGAGCTGAGATTTTGTGAGGATTGAAGATTTTGTAGCCGTTGAGTTGCTGGCTTGTCTATTTCTTGGTGATGTAGGTTTCAAGTTCTGAGACTCCCAGTTCTCCATCACTCAGCATTGATGCTGATACAGACACGGTATGCTTCTGGCTGATTATCTTTCGATAACTTCAAATGCTCAGAGATTACATTTTTGCAAACTGTGTAGACTTAGTCTGTATTGCTTTGTGCTTTGGTCTGCAAATAACTGCTGGTGGTTTCAGCTGAGAAACCAGCATTCCATGTGGTTTACCAATAGTTACCCGTAGAGTTTCCCAACTCGCGAGAAGCTCGATTTGGATTCTGTCTCTGGTGTTTCCGATTCCTTCCCTTAGCTGTTTCTTTCATATGTCTGAACTTTTTTCCGTTTCCTTGATGCTGCTCCTGTTTTCAGATGGCCCCAAAGCAGAAGATCAGAATTAAGCTTAGGTCGTACTGGGTACCCTTGATTGAAGATTCCTGCAAGCAGATATTGGATGCTGCAAGGAACACAAATGCCAAAACCATGGGTCCTGTGCCGTTGCCCACGAAGAAGCGAATCTACTGTGTTCTGAAATCCCCCCACGTACACAAGGATGCTAGATTCCACTTCGAGATCCGAACACACCAGAGGCTAATAGACATTCTCTACCCAACTGCTCAGACTATCGATTCACTTATGCAGCTTGACCTCCCTGCTGGAGTCGACGTGGAGGTGAAGCTATGAGAAACAAATGCTTCATATAGGTAAGGTTGGGGTTTTTTTTTTTTAATTGCTTGTTTTCTGTTCATCTGTAAACTGCTGCAAATAAACAGTATCTTAATTGTGGTTATCTTCTCCACGATGAATGCAAATCCTATTGATTAGTTGCATAGATTGTATTTCCACATTTACTTTTGGCATTTGTTCAGTTCATGTTAGGTTCTCTCCAGCCACGTATGGGGCTCAAGTAGTGAATCTGTTTTCTTTCGTCCTGATTATTCCTCAATAAGTTGGTCTAAGAATATGCGTTCTCTTTGTCTTCTGATTCTCTGGTTATGGGAACTACACAAATTGAAGTTGGAATCAATATAAAGCAGCACCTGTGTTGGTCTTAATACTCCACGTGCTGAGCTTGATGGTAGGAATCAATATACAAAATGAAGCAAGAAAATGAATAAACCAACTGTTTCCGTTGCATACTTGCATTACCATGGTTGCTGCTGCATCGAGGAATATGTTTGTGTTTGAAATTCTCCCTTCCGAATCGTGGTTAATGAATCGAACCTTGCTATTGCAGCTCGACGAGTTCTTCCACCTTCTACGAGCAGCAACGAAATGAACGATTGGTGTTCTACCAAAAGCTGGTGGAGGAGGTACTTGAACAGTAGGGGTCTGTAAGAATGCTTGATTAGCTTTAATTAATCACCCTTTTAGATTCTATGCTTAAATGATTTGTTCAGCTGTGTTGTATGCACGATAATGAGTGTGGCGAGAATATGTACTGTTGTTACACTGTGTAAGGTGTTGGGAAAAGGATGGAAGCATAGAGCTCTTCTCTGATCATCTTTCTTCCACGCCTGTACTTGCAGATTTTGTTCATAGCATCGGATATTTTCCAATCTTTTCACTATATTCTCCATGGAGGTGCTGCTAACTGCGCTCCTTGATAAGGCTGCAACGGAAGCTCGCCTAAACATATCATCTTTCTTTGCACCGACTCAGCTAGCATTATCGTGAACTTGTTGCAGCCATTCTTTTGTTGTTTAGCCCTGGATCGGGTTGACGAGATTTGCTAAAGGATCAACCTTTCTAATGTTAGAGTAAAAGTGACTGACATGACATTGCCTTCCCTTCACTCTGAGTGGAAAAGTTGGAGTCTTCTTCCTCCCCATCCTCTTTCTTTCATAATGGTAGCTTGGCCAACTACTCATTTAGTACATGCGCCAACTGGGTTCCTCGGATTCAGCTATATCATTGACATTGCCGACTAAAATGTTATCTTGTCTCCAAATCTTCGTCAACATTTGCCATTTTCAGGGAATCTAAGTAACTCGCATAAGGAGGTACGAATGTTGCATACGCACCCATAAATTTTACATAGGGGTGTCTTCTTTTAGAAAATAAAATAATTCTTATATACGAAAATATCTAAATCGTACGAGTTAAAAAAAGTCCACGGTAAAATACACTTGAAGTCTATACTGCTCAAATAAACTGTCCTTGTATATTCACGAAATGATCACATATTCGATTTTTAAACTTGTTCTTGATGTAACCTAAATCTGAAAAGACTCTTTCAACACTTACCGTACAACAGTGTTTAAGACAGTTTGATTAATCGTTAGGTTTTGAAAATAATTAGAGATAGAGAATGACATTTTACTATTACACAGTGTTTAAAATCGAACAACAAATTGAGTTGGAGTCCAAAAAAATTATTTTTATTAGTAATAAATACTGCACTAGGTTTGAATTATTCAAACTACAACTTATATTCCCATAAGCAAACTAAAAGATGAGGGCAGGATCATCATTTTTTTCAAATTTCATGGGCGTCCCCGACTATCAATTATAATTTTTTTGCCGATATATAATTTACCACCGGAGATAGAATAATTGTTTTCCCAAAATTTAGGTGGGCGTGTGCCCCTGGCATGATTTACTTCCTAGTTCGACGGCCCAAGAAAATCGTATAAATAAGTTGTAGTGATCGGAGCTGGAATCCAGCCGTAATCGATGACGTCCTCCGACGGCGCGGAAACCCATACATCGTGTATTTGTTTAATTTTGGATTGGAAAGCCTATTCATGGTATTTTGTAGGAGGATTGGATTTGGGTATTTGAATAATAATAAGGCCAAATACACTTCTTCTTTTTTTTTTACAAAAAGGCCAAATACACTTTTTGTGTAGCCAAAATTTTGAAGTTTATTTTATAAATAATTTTGGGTTAATAAATTAATTAAATATTTTAAAATAAAATATGACGTGTCACGTATATGTGGCAAGCATTGGTGAGTTGTCAATGATGTGTCAGGTGAGTTGGCACCCAGATCATCGTTCCGTTAATTTGACTAACGGTGTCACTGACGCCGTCAAACTATGTAACGAAAATGACTATTATTATCATCAAACTTTCAAATTTCTGGCTATTATTGGTATTTCTCAAAAAATGGCTATTATTGTCACAACCGTCAAAATTTTGGCTATACATATAAATTTTGCCTAATAATATATAAATAAATAACAATCTGATTGATGGATGGAAGAGTGGAGAAAGGAGTAAAGGCAAAGTCAAAGTGATCAATATAATCTTTTTTTTTTCTTCTTCTTCTTTTTCTACAGTCACCGGACCGAAGGTCCCTGCCGGCTGCCACCGGGGAAGTGACAAAGTCAAGATTTAAGGTTGGCCGGCGCGTCAGCACTAACGTCACGGCGGCGTTGTGCAAATTGGGTTTGACTTGCTTGACTGTCTCAAATGATTGGGCCTTGGTGTCTGCATAACGAATACTTAATCATAACACCAAATCATCGAAACAAACATTATCCTAATTTGACAGGTAGGCAGTTTAGGACCCAAAATACCTGCTGTATTGTTAGTTTGTTTGATCAAATTGGGTTATGTACAAGGATACACAAATTCTTAGTTTGACTCAAGGTTCTCGAACCGGTTTATTCTATAATGTCGGTTTGGCAAGTGATGTGATTTGGTTGGTGATACTAATCATACCGGGGCATTCCAATCGATTTTTGTAACCGATATCGACTGAACCCGATTCTTCCGATCGGCATGCCACGGACATGACAACCATAATTTATGTACAAAAAGTTTAGGAGAGACTCTCAAGACTAAGGATCGATATGTGGCAGATGAACATTTTTTTTAATTTGATTATTAGTTTGCACATCGAAGCACAAAGATTTAGGTTTAAGTTTGATGTTATTGACAGTTAATATTTTACCTTCCCACCAGATTAGTTTCCCATGACGCCCAACTTTTTATCAGGATCGAAATAGACTCATTTGGACTCGATCAAATTGGTCAAACTATTACAAAATTCTGAATATTACTAAGAATTACAGTTGAAGTTGCAAATAAATTGTGAATTTAGAAGGTAACATGTAATGGTAAATAATTCAGCTTTGGTGGGGGGGGAATTTGCCAATTTGGAGCTGGTTCAAGAATCCTTTCTTTATAATCCCAACGACGGTCCAAAAGCCTAAACCACTCAACCTCCTCAACTCTCCCTCACCAAAAAAAATACCACCATTTAATTCTTTTTTATTTTTTCATTTCAAGAGACAAGAATATAATAATTATGTTTACCGTTTTAACCCGTAACCAAAACGGCTTCCTCCAAGAAACTCTCCCTCATTTCCCAATGAAACTTCTGGTCACCACCTCCTCCGCCGCTCTCCCTCTATATAATTCTTCCTCCTCCGCCTCCCTTCTTCTCCTCCACTCCAAATCCGACCACCACCACAACCACTCGAATCTTTCTATGGCGACTTGCGTCGACAATTGCGCCACCACGGCCTGCCGCGACGGCAACAACAACAACAGGTACCCCTGTTTCTACAAACCCAACAAGTCCTTCGCCAGAAATTTCCAGACCCAGACCCAATCCCCAACTCTCAATCGAATCGACGGCGCGGCCGCGGCCGCGACCGATCTCTGGGCGAAGATGCGAGAAGAAGCGATCCTCGACGCGGAGCAGGAGCCGGTCCTCTCCTGCTACTACTACACCTCGATTCTCTCCCACAAATCGCTGGAAAGCGCGCTGGCGAATCACCTCGCCGTGAAATTGAGCAATTCCAGCCTCCCGATCGGAACCCTATTCGACGTCTTCTTCGCGGTGCTGGAGGAGCAGGGCCCGGACTTGGGCCGGGCCGTGAGGGCGGACCTGCGGGCCGTCAAAGAGCGGGACCCGGCCTGCATCAGCTACGTCCACTGCTTCCTGGGCTTCAAGGGGTTTCTCGCGATCCAGGCCCACAGAGTGGCCCACGAGCTCTGGCGGCGGCAGAGGAAGGCCCTGGCGCTGGTGATTCAGAACAGGGTGTCGGAGGTTTTCGGGGTGGACATCCACCCGGGCGCCCGGGTCGGGTCGGGCGTGCTGCTCGACCACGCCACCGGGGTCGTGATCGGCGAGACGGTGGAGGTCGGCGACGACGTGTCGATTTTGCACGGCGTGACGCTGGGAGGGACCGGGAAGGCGGGCGGGGACCGGCACCCGAAGATCGGCGACGGGGTTTTGATCGGGGCCGGGACGTGCGTGCTGGGGAACGTTCGGGTCGGGGCGGGGGCGAAGATTGGGGCGGGTTCGGTGGTTCTGAAGGAGGTTCCGGCGAGGACGACGGCGGTGGGAAATCCGGCGAGGTTGATCGGCGGGAAGGAGAACCCGACGAAATTGGATAGAATGCCTAGCTTTACCATGGACCAGACTTCCCATATAGCCGAATGGTCCGATTATGTGATTTAGGATTGAAAAGTTTTGATCTTTTTCGGGGGGGGTTTTCCCCTGGTAGTGAGCAGAACCGAAGTTCTCACCGCCATGAGAGGAGCATCGTGTTCTTTGTCTTGATCCTTTTTTGGGTACAATAATTGATAAGAGGTAAAATGTGTGGCCTTTGTTTGGTTGCTGAATGATACTACACTACTATAGTAATAGACAGAGACATGATATTCGAGTTTGAGGCATTCCTGTGGTTGTAATTTGGAGACAAATGTTTCTGGTTCTGGTGCAACTCAAAAGATTGGGGACTTCCCTTTTGAAGGACTCGAGCCTTGTGACCTTCTACTAGAGACTAGAGGGTTAGTGTACTCATAGTTTGTGACAACTTAAGTAGAGGACCACTAAAGGAACACATTCCTTCTTACCATCCAACGTTAACATTCTTCGTAGATTCTTCTGAACTTGATTGTATTTCGCAGTTCATTCACTGATGTGACATTCCAGTAAACAGGATATTAATGTGGTATCTCAATATATCGTGCTAAAACGTATTTATATAAGTGTTCATTGTGTAAAAAGAAAAAGAGAACATATGATACACAAATATTATTCTAACTATTTCACATCTTAACTTTGAGAATGAAAAGCCTAATGCTTGGTGTAGGGAATTGGAATCACTTTAAGGTTATGTTTCTTCCTTACCGCAAATCCATATAATTCAGTCATGTCCAAATTCTCAATCTTGACATCACTCGGAAGTTCCCAATCAAAATGGTACAGAAATTTGGCCAATGAGAGTTCAATATTCGCCATTGAAAACGCGACCCCCGGACATATCCTTCTCCCAGAACCAAACGTTAGGAACTCGAAGTTCGATCCTTTAAAATCAATTGGATTATTAATGAACTTTTCTGGACGAAATTCCTCCGGATCATTCCAGTATTTTGGATCCCTAGAGATTGCCCAAATGTTCACAATCACCTTCTCTTTTGCCTTTACTTGAAACCCATTGATCTCACAATCCTCACCACATTCCCTAGGAATCAGTAGTGGTCCCGGAGGATGTAGTCTTAGCGTCTCTTTGATAACTGATTGGAGATAATACAACTCATGAAGCTGTGTAACGTCAACATCTCCTTTCAATTTAAAAACGCGTCTCACTTCGATTTGTGCCTGTTGTAGGATTCTTGGATTCTTAATCATTTCCGACATTGCCCAGTCCATAATTGTTTGTGCCTAGAATGTTCTAGGCGGTTATGGGGCTCCGATCTGGACTCCCTCGTCCGATCTCCTCGGGAGTGGAAGAACCTGTGAAGGCGGGGGGCGGCCCCCGGGATCTACGCTCCGACGCCCCAGTTAGTACGATATAGGATGAGGTTTATGGTATGTAGAGAGAGAGAGTTTAGAGAGAGACCTTAGGGTTAGAGTGTAGGAAGGGAAGAGAGAATCCTTGGCTTGGAGGCTTTGGCCTCCTTATATAGAGCTTGGGCCTCCTTGAGTGGGCTTGGGCCTCCTTGAGTGGGCTTGGGCCCAGGACGCCTTGCGGTGGGCTTGGGCCCGTTTATAGTTGTGTAGGCATATTAATCCATATCCCAACAATTGCCCCTTTACTTCTTGTATTCTGTAAGAATGGAAGGAGTAACATAGTGCGTTAATCGTGTATTAATTTGCCTTACTTGCGAGTCCGGATAATGCGGTTTGCCCCTGGTGCGAGTTGCGCGATCATTTCCTTTGCCCCTTGCTTAGCTTTCGATGTCTTGAAGCAAAACTCTCAAGTCGTTAAGAGTTCCTTCGCTAGTCCATTGTTGTTAGCGCTAGTAGACCATAATTGTGACCTAGGTAGGGTGGCCCCCACGGCTTGAGAGTTTTAACTCAAGACGCTCTTGTTGTTAGCGCCTCGCTTCTTCGGCTTCCAGTGAAGCGCATTACTCCTACGCTTCCCGGGAAGCGCATTACTCCTTCGACCTCCTGGGAAGCCATTGCTCCTTCGCTTCCTGGAAAGTGCATTGCTCCCTCCGCTTCTTGAGAAGCGCATCGCTCCTCGGCTTCCTGGGAAGCGCATTGCTCCTTCGGCTTCCTGGGAAGCGCATTGCTCCTTCGCTTCCTGGAAAGTGCATTGCTCCCTCCGCTTCTTGAGAAGCGCATCGCTCCTCGGCTTCCTGGGAAGCGCATTGCTCCTTCGGCTTCCTGGGAAGCGCCTCGCCCCTCGGCTTCCTGGGAGGCGCATCGCTCCTCGGCTTCCTGGGAAGCGCATCGCTCCTCCGGCTTCCTGGGAAGCGCCTCGCTCCTCGGCTTCCTGGGAAGCGCATTGCTCCTCGGCTTCCTGAGAAGCGCATCGCCCCTCGGCTTCCTGGGAAGCACCTCGCTCCTCGGCTTCCTGAGAAGCGCATCGCTCCTCCGGCTTCCTGGGAAGCGCCTCGCTCCTCGACTTCCAGGGAAGCGCATTGCTCCTCGGCTTCCTGAGAAGCGCATCGCCCCTCGGCTTCCTGGGAAGCACCTCGCTCCTCGGCTTCCTGAGAAGCGCATCGCTCCTCCGGCTTCCTGGGAAGCGCCTCGCTCCTCGACTTCCAGGGAAGCGCATTGCTCCTCGGCTTCCTCAGAAGCGCCTCGCTCCTCGGCTTCCTCAGAAGCGCATCGCTCCTCTGCTTCTTGGGAAGCGCGTTGCTCCCTTGGCTTCCTGGGAAGCGTGTCGCTCCTCCGCTTCCTGGGAAGCGCGTTGCTCCTTTGGCTTCTTGGGAAGCGCATCGCTCCTGCACTCCTTCGCTCCTTCGCATTGCATTCCAAAGAGGGAACATCGCTCGGAGGCGGGAAAGCATTCCGATGAGGAACATCGCTCGGAGGCGTGAAGCATTCCTGGGGGGGAGCCTCGCTCGGAGGCGGTTTACGAGCCTTGCTCCGTGGCGGAAGGCATGAATCAACCCCCGAGCGGTGCATCGCTCGGAGGCGGTATTTTAGCCCAGTCCGGAGGCGGAGGGCATGAATCAATCCCCGAAGGGTGCGTTGCTCGGAAGCGGAAATCATTCCTTAGAAGAAGCATCGCTCGGAGGCGAGAGTCCTCGAGCCTAACCCAGAGGTTGGAGGCGTGAGCCTTCCCTGAAGAGTGCATCGCTCGGAGGCGGGAAGCATTCTAATGAGGGAACATCGCTCGGAGGCGAGATTCTTCGAGCCTAACCCGGAGGTTGGAGGCGTGAGCCTTCCCTGGAGAGTGCATCGCTCGGAGGCGGGAATCTTTGAGCCTAACCCAGAGGTTGGAGGCGTGAGCCTTCCCTGAAGAGTGCATCGCTCGGAGGCGGGAATCTTTGAGCCTAACCCAGAGGTTGGAGGCGTGAGCCTTCCCTGAAGAGTGCATCGCTCGGAGGCGGGAAGCATTCTAATGAGGGAACATCGCTCGGAGGCGAGATTCTTCGAGCCTAACCCGGAGGTTGGAGGCGTGAGCCTTCCCTGAAGAGTGCATCGCTCGGAGGCGGGAAGCATTCTCAGGAGAGAGCATCGCTCGGAGGCGAGATTCTTCGAGCCTAGCCCGGAGGCAGGAGGCGCTTCAACTTTTCTCTGGAGGCTGGCTTTGATAAATATGGCATGAGGTGGTAGTGTCCAATATTCTCATAGCATAAATAAGCATAGAATATTATGACGAATATCCTAGCACGGTGGTGATGCCTCTTCATGGCGTGGAATTGAAGATATATATTTTTGAAGAAATTACTTATCTTGTGAAAAAAAATAGTAGAGGAGGCAGCTAGTCATTGGATAAATCTCGGACGTTGCAAACTGTATCTCAAACCGTCCATGTAGCATATTGGGCGGTTTCCTTCCTTTCCACTGGGAGAAGCTGGGTTCGAATCCCAGCTCAAGCGGTTGACATTTCTTTTTAAATGAGCCCGGATTGAGCTGACTGAATTTGGGCCGAGCGGTTGTTGAGCTTGACTTTGCGAAGCGGGCTTGAGGCGGCCCATTTGACGCGAAGGCGAGACCTCCTTGTGAGACAAAACGTCAAGCGGGCCGAATGGAGGCGGGCCGCTTTGGACGCGAATGGGAGGAGGTCTTGCGGATTCGAGACGAAACGTTGGTGAAGTCGATGCCGGATTAGACTAGAGGTGGGCCGCGCTGGATGTGGTACTGATGCGTTCTTGGGCTTCATGCGGGTCGAATCTTGAGCGGTCTTTAGTATTAATAACCCGAGGCGGTTTAGCGGGCTGATTCCTTGGCGGCTCGAATTGACTGGAGGTGGACCGTGCTGGATGTGGTCAAGTTGAGGTGCGGTTCGTGCTCAACGGGTTGCAAGGGCGGAACGAGTAACGGGCCGCCGCGTTGGAGGCGGGCGGACTGCACTTTATGAGGATCGGCGGGCCCGTATAGTTGGGCCGAGACGGCTTTGTAGGATGCAAATGTTGATGTTGATGTTGATGGGCCGCAATTAGATAACTAAAAGCATGGTGGCGTCTCTTGAGTTAACTAAGGCGCCTTGTAGTTCAGTGGCTGGAGCTGCTTGTAAGAAGAAGGAGCTCTCTGGTTCGAACCACGGCGTGTGCGTATTATGCCCCTCCTTTTTTTATTTATTGAAGAGACACACCTTGTTGGGCCCTTGCGGGCGGTCCTCAACGAGGCGGTTGGGCTCTCGCGGGCGGTCCTTAAGGAGAGGCGGATTTGAGCTGGACTTCTTTCTCAAACGCGGGGACTTAATTCTTGGGCGGGCCTGTGTTGAGGTATGCGGTTGTGCTGATGGCGGGCCGGATCGGCTGGCTAAACTCTTAGACGGGCCTGTGTTGAGATGTTGCGGTTGCACTGTTGGCGGGCCGGACTGGCTGGACTGCAGTAAACCCCTAGCAAACTATGGAATTGAGCAGGTTGGGCGAGACGCCCTTGCCTCTTCTTTTCACAACGGAGAGAGAAAATATCTGTTGACAGCTAGCCTGCATCGGGAACTCCATCTGTCTATTTTTCATAGCGGAGAGAGAAAATAGCTGTTGACAGCTAGGGTGACGTGACAAGGAGAAAGGACCAAAGCTGATTGCAGGCACTGTAGCGGAGCAGGGCAGGTTCAGCTTTTGAGAAGGAAAAGGGGAAGATGTTGACTACGGCCTCTTCTTCTTTCGCCGGAGGTCCGACGTCGGACCTTATTCCGGCGGTCATAATCTGGAAGATTTGTATTTTCTTTCGTCGATAGCTACAGATCTCTCTTGACCACCCCTTGTCTTCGACTGTGGCGACGCAGTGATGTTGGCGACCGGGATGGATGCTGGTTATTCTCGTTCTCTCTTTTCTTTTCTTTTTGTCTTTCTTCATACTTGAATGGACGAGGTCCTCATGAACCTCGTGTTTTCTTCTGCTCCGGCGGCTCTTGGCCAGATTTCTTAGCCACTGCTATTGTTGTTTGTCGTTGGATGAAGGGTAGGGATATGATGAAGTGACGGCGGTAGGTTCTTCTTAGATGCAATTCTCAACTCCTACTGTGGGCTTCTTGACGGCGGCAAGTTTCTTCGCCGCCATGGAGGAAATTGGGAAGAAAGTCAGGGGCTTATCTTCTCCTTTTGTTTTTCTTATTGATTTTGCTTTGAAGCTGCCTTTGTTGTTTTGCTCAGATCTGGGCGTGGAGTAGGAATGGAGAAAGATTTTTCGTTGTTGCTTGTCGCGGGGCCCCCGTAGTTGGTGGAGGAAATTCAATTTCTTCCCTCCTTTAGAAATCGACGAAGTGAATCTCAGATCTAAGCCCCACGGTGGGCGCCAAATTGTTTGTGCCTAGAATGTTCTAGGCGGTTATGGGGCTCCGATCTGGACTCCCTCGTCCGATCTCCTCGGGAGTGGAAGAACCTGTGAAGGCGGGGGGCGGCCCCCGGGATCTACGCTCCGACGCCCCAGTTAGTACGATATAGGATGAGGTTTATGGTATGTAGAGAGAGAGAGTTTAGAGAGAGACCTTAGGGTTAGAGTGTAGGAAGGGAAGAGAGAATCCTTGGCTTGGAGGCTTTGGCCTCCTTATATAGAGCTTGGGCCTCCTTGAGTGGGCTTGGGCCCAAGACGCCTTGCGGTGGGCTTGGGCCCGTTTATAGTTGTGTAGGCATATTAATCCATATCCCAACAATAATAATGGCCGAAGTATCACTCCCCGCTATGAACACATCCTGAAGGCAACACGAGGCAGATCAAAACATTACAAATTTGCAATAGAGGAAAAGTTCACTTCAGTTGTATGAGAGATATTGAGAAAAGAAAAGCAGAGGAGAATGCAATTTCCATTTACTAGAATGACTGCTTTGATGTTGTCATCTGAAAGAGGAACCTCGAGCCCGCCACCAGCCTGAAGCTTCAAAAGCACATCGACCAAATCATCCACCTCGTCGGAACCCTCAGTCCTCTGCCTCTCACGGTGGTCGGAGATTATGCCGTCCATCATCCGATCAGCTTCATTTCTCAACCTGAGAAGCTGGGACCTCATCCCACTCGTTACCTGAAGCAATTTCACCGACGGAAACAAGTCCGCCAGGCTAAACCCACCTGAAATCCGCGCCATTTCCTCCATCACGGGGACGAATTCGTCGTGCCCTCTGTACTTCTTCCCGAAAGCGACCCGGGAAACGATGCCGGCGGTGAGGGAGAACACCATCTGGCTGAAATTGAATTCCTGCCCAGCCGAAACAGAGACTCCGCCCATGGAATTGGATATCTCTTCGGACCGGATCGAACCGAAGGATTGGACCCGGTTCGGGTTGAGGAGCTCGAGGGCGCAGATCTTGCGGAGCTGGCGCCAGTAGGCGCCGTAGGGGGAGAAGATGATGTCGGTGAAATCATAGGTTAAGATCTGGGCGGCGAGGCTGAAGGGTCGGTTGGCGAAAACGACGTCGTGCGTCTTGAGGATTTGTTCTGCGGATTCCGCGGAGGAGATGACGACGAAGGGGATTTGGCCCAGCTGTAGGCCCATTACGGCGCCGTATTGGTTGGTGAGGTCGCGGAACCGGCGGTGCGGGAGGGAGCTGCCGGCGAGCTGGTGGAGGTTTCCGATGATGGGCAGTTTTCTGGGATGCGGCGGGGCTGCTGGTGGTTTTGGTGGGTTTCGACGCATTTTGAGGAGGAAGAATACGAGCAAGAGGAGACAGCCCAAAATTGCCGGGGCTTGGAATTGGGAGGACGGCTCCTCCATTTGTTGCCTGAAGGGGCAGTGGGCACCACTTGCAGGGTTGTAAGCTCGTATTAAATGCTCTCACGATTAGCCCGGTATTTATAGGGGTAGGGATTTGTCGTCTCCATAACGGATTTCACCTCGTATAAAAAAAAAAGACATTGAGCTGGAGAAACTGGTTTCGTCATCTAGCTCGAACAGGATCCATATGCTAAAGATGCTGCTTTTTTTTTTTAATAAAGATTTCATTCATTCAATCCCGAAAGAGGAAGGGTTTACAGCAAAGGTGCCACAATAGAAAGGACCGAGATCCAATCAGGCGGAAGAGAAAGACAACGTGCATTACGAGCGACCCAATCGGCACATTTGTTCACTCGACGACTGGTGAAAGAGATATGAATCCATCTACACTGAAAGATGCTGCTTGCTACCAATGAATCTAAGGGGTCGTTTGGAAGTTGTGATTTCAAATGGTGTATTGATCTAATTCATGTATTTGTGAGATTAAGTCGTTTTTTTGGTTTATATAGAACTAGAATACATGCATTTACTTTTTGGAGGCCCCACCACAATCATTGAATATTGAGGGATTTACAATCTCTACTTTTGGTTGAGATTCTTCACAATCACTCAATACTAACATTTTTTACCTTTGGAACAAAAATACAATCTAGACCTCCAAACAAGATATTTACCTAATACATCAATTGATTCAATCCATCAAATGATAATACACGGAACAGGTTAGGGTGGTTACTCAATTTTGAGTAATCACGGTGGCTACCAACATCTATACCATTCATTATCTTTATTTTATTATATTTTTAAATTAACGATTAAGATTAGCTAAGGGTAATTTAGGAAATGAAAAACATACCACACCTAATTACTGTATATATTATACTCAAACCCTAATACAACCTATCTACCTAGCCGCCGTCTCTCCCTTCTCCCACCCCCGTCGGCGTCACTCCGCCGGCCAGATTCTCAAAAACCCAAACAAGCAGACCCACAAGCTGGTTCCTCTTTTCCCTGCTTGCAAAGTTTCCGCCATTGAAAGGGACCAAAGGGAAGGAAAAATGCAGACCCGGTCTGCAGATCCGTCGTCGGCCGGTACCCGAACTCTCGCCGGGCCGAGCTGATGTTCGTGTGGGTGAACGGCACGTCACCGTTCCCGGGCATCTCCACCACCTTCTTCTTCGCCTTCACCTTCAGATGCCTCTCCAGTATGCTCACCAGCGTCGGCACCGTCACCGGCGAAGTGTTCCCGAGGTTGAAGATCCGGTACGACGCCGGAACCGTCTTCTTACCGCCCGACCCGGTACTCCTCCAGGCGGTGTCAAGCTAGTTACTCATTCAGATCTCGCCGCCGACAAGCCATTCGCCAGCTTCTTCTTTCACGCCTAACCGGAGTTGGGAAATCACGGCTCGCCAGAGCATTAGCAATGGAGTTCCTCGGGTCGACAGATTCTCTGGAAAAGGTGGGATGAATAAAAACCATAGATCTGATTTTTTTTCTCCCATTGGTAGTGATTTTTTCGTAGTGGTAGTGCTTTTTTGCATTGGTATTGTTTTTGTCGCATTGGTATTGATTATCATGTAATGGTATTAATTTGCATGTATTTGGTATGGATTCAATCTGCAATGGTATTGATTTTTTGTGAAATGGTATAGATTTATATTGGTAGATTGTTTATATTGGTAGTTTTCGTGTAATGGTATAGATTTATTTCTGCAATGGTATTAATATTTTTCAAAGTGGTAGTGATTATCTAATGGATTGGTAGTGATTTCGTGTTTTTTTTCTTTTGCAGAAAGATTGAGAAAAATAAGGAAAAGGGATCTGGCGGAAGATTATGGAAGTGAGAAAAAGAGAGAGAATTGTAATTAATAGATTCTTGTAACTACCTAAAATGTAATTTATTAAAAAAGTTAATTAATACAATTTATTTTTCATACCCAATTTTTTCTTCTTCCAAGAAATGTCAAGAGAGAACCTATACAACCTACCAAGACCCTGCCCAACCCAATACATCAGTGAAGCCAACCAACAAAGTCAAAGGCGCACAACTCTAGAGGGGAGAGTAACAGGGCTTTCTGCGCCACTCTATGGGCAGCCCTGTTAGCAGTCTGGGGAACTGCCCTAAACTCTAAGATACAGAAACAGAGGACAGGAGAAGGAAGCAATCCCGAAGCACCGGACCTCCAAGGGAGTCTGAGGAAACACCTTGACGAAGCTGACGAATCACCACCTCTGAATCTCCTTCTATGATGACCCGAGGTAGAGATTTGGAGACCAAAAGGAAGATGGCGTCTCTAGCAGCAAGGAGTTCTTCAGAAATCCATCAGGAGGAGGGGACCAGGGAGAGCGGCGAGAGCAGGAGGGCTGGGGTGGAGGAGCAGGGACCAAAGGTAGGGAGGATGACAGTTCACGAACTTGGAAAAAACATTGACGAGCGAGAGACTGGGCATGAGGTTGGACATGCTCAAAGACCACCTTATTTCTAGACTTCCAGATCCTCCACAATACACAAACGTATAGGAGGATATGAGTTTGGGGGTGCTCAGAGTGCATAACATGTCGCCACCAGAGACTGAAGTTCACAGTCGGGGCCGAGGAAATGAAGTCATTTAGGCCCATAAGCGACCACATTCTTGTGGCCAAGGGGCATTTGAAGAACAGATGTTCAATACTTTCCGGACTTCTCCAACAAACAGGGCAACAGACATGACAATTTACTCCTCTAGACTTGAGTGCTACTACTGTTGGTAATATCACTCTAAGGCACTGCCAGATAAAGAATTTCAGCTTCGGAGGGGTTAGAATATCCCATGTTTTCTTCCAGATAGGCGGATCAATGATTTGGACCAGAGATTTTCGGCTAGCGGCTTCTTCCATATTGACCTAACTTCAGCTTAAAAGAAAAATTTTACCAACGTCAACTTGCTCAAAATTATTTGCAATCAAAATAAAGGAAAGCAACGTTAAAATGGTCACCAAATGGTAATTAAATTGGGGGAACTTGAAGTTGCAACCAAATTGATGGAATCTTGGTATTAACGTAAGGCAATTAATTTAGCAGCCTAGAGCTACGATTAGGGAATAACTAAGTTCTACCAAAAAAAGGAATAACTAAGTAAATGAAAGGGGATTGGATTACCAATTTCCATATGATGGGTAACGGACAATAATGCTCATTTTATTTTGTCAACGTGATTCTAATGGTAATTAATAAAAAATAATAGCTCACTAACTATCTCTTTAATAATCCTCGTATCCCAAAACTGAGTTTTGAAACGGAACATTGAAGTTCCTATAGCGCCATAAATAGGCCACTTTAATGACAAACTTGTCATTATGTAACGTCTCATCGGAGACTTTCTTGGGTCGAGCCCATGAAACCGCCGGCAAGGAAAGACCATCGTTTCTACGAGGATCAACCACCGGCAGCGAGTGTATTGTTAATTAGTCCTTCATTCGTCGGAGTTCGGACCTTCTGACAGAATAGAAGATGAGAGAAGTTGAACAGTTGTTGTCGCTTCCTGGTGCACCGCTTGGGCATGCGGTGTCTCTGTTTTTCCGCCAGGTGACTCTTTTCACTGCTCTCCCAAAAGTCTGAAATCGGGATCCCTCCTCGCTGGTGGAAGCGTCTTTCTTTTTGGCCATCGTCAGATCGAGCCATCGCATCTTCATTGTTGCCGCTTCGATGGCGCGGCAGAGGCTGCTCTCTTCTCCCCTCTCTCCCTCTTCACGCAATGCAAACCATTGCTGCTCTGCCGCCGTCCCCAAGAACCTTCCCCCGGTCCGGCGGCGAGGGAATTTAGTAAAGTTCCAATCCAACCTTGCAATAAGATTTCTTTTCATCTTTGCCAAATAAATAAACAACAATCGCATGCTTCATACCATTGCCAATATAAAAAAGGAAACAGGACGCCGACGGGCTAGAAAATCGCCTGAACGCGGCTAAAAAGCACGGCAGCTTTGCTTCAATAACGGAAAGAGTGTGTCTGTCTTGGGTCTACTTGATTTTGGCGTACTGAATCTGGCAGCCCTGAAGCTGGACGGAGGCCTCGGTCCGATCGCCGCTACTCCATTATTTGTAAGCTTAAATTCCTAATCCCGATTCCAATTCAACAAAGAAAACTAACAACTCCCAATTCCCAATCGGGAACTGGAATCACTGCCAACGCCTATGAATTAGTTCAAACCGAAGACGCACGAAGGAAGAGGAGAAGAGAGAGAGAGGGCTAGAATGGCGATTCTCTACGCGGTGGTTGCTAGGGGGACGGTGGTGCTGGCGGAGTTCAGCGCCGTCACGGGGAACACGGGCGCGGTGGCGCGGCGTATCATGGAGAAGCTGCCAGCCGACGGCGATACCAGGATGTGCTTCTCGCAGGATCGTTTCATATTCCACATACTCAGATCCGACGGCCTCATCTTCCTCTGTATGGCCAACGACGCGTTCGGCAGTACGTATTCTGATACTCTGGTTCCCTTCTTTCTGCTGCTGGTCTCATTTGTTTTGTTTCTCTCATTAGTAACCACGGTGATTACTACATATCTAGTAATCACCGTAATCTGTCCTGATAATACATTAATTGTCCCAATACATCAATTTAAAGAATCACAACTTCCAAACAACCCTAACAGCCTGTTTGGATAGACAAAAAACTCAGGAATTGGAATTTCATTTTCAATTCCAGTTCCATATTTTATGTTTGGAAGGATAAGAAGGTTGGGAAATGAATTCCATTTAGGCTAAGTTTTGGGAATTACAATTCCTATCAAAAGTGATAGGAATTGTGTTTATGAATATGGAATTAGTGGGTCTCATCACTATTTATTATTATTTTATTAACCAACTATCACACTACTCTCTTTCTCTATCATTCATATTTCATTTCCCAAGATAAAATAAATATATTATATTATTAATTATTGTTAAAAGTGCAATTCATTTCTTTAGTTGGAGGAATTATACCAAACACTAAAATTGGAAATGGAATTCTATAAAAATAGGAATTGGAAATAGAATTCCATTTTCATTTCTTCTTGAATTGTATCCAAACAGGCTGTAAGTAAGTGGGGAATAATTCAAACCTAGTCCAAAGACATCGAGCTGGTATTTAGTGGCCCGTGCATGACATAATTAAGTGGGGGAATCGATGCCAAATGGAAGTTTTAGTATTCACATTTTTAATATTCAAATTTATATATAATTGTATACCTCGATAAACGGATCAAATTGGAGGGAAGTACACCTCCAAAATTTGGGAGAAAAATTAAATGAACTCATAGTAGTAGTTTGAGTAGGGGTAAAAAGCATGTATATGTGATTCGAATATTAACATGGTAGTTATTAGTGAACATCTTTTTTGCTTGACTACACTTTATTTGTTGTTGTGATTTTTTCATAAATGTAATTATAAACGTGTAACCCTTATCTTATTTTCTCAAAGCCTAAAATTAAATTCAAAGACTACTCCTTAATCCTTATCCCCCGCCAATGTATTCTAACACATGATTTTATCCCGAAGAGTATGATCACCTTTCTATTATTTTCTTCTAGAGGATTTGGAGAAATATTATCATTTGTGCTAAAAATTATGAGTGATTTTGTGGATTAAAAGGAAGCGATGAATTGGCTTCTCATAGTTGTATTGATTTTACTGGTTGAAACTCCAAATGTTGGGAGAGCTTAGTTGATGTTGAACTGAATCTATGATATACATTGATCTGTTTGTTTCTGGTTGAAACTCCAAGTATTTTTTTTAAATGAAAGTTCATTAAGATTACGATTGGGCTCTGCCCAAAAATGAGAGAGCCTTTTCAACTTTACTTTACATCAAAACAAATTTCAGAATCGAATAGGTGATAAGTTCATAAATGATTGTCTAGTTTGATATATTGAAAAATATTGTTTAGCATTTTTCATAATATGATAACACCTCGTAGAGTTTTGTTGTAACTTCTTCTAGTCAGACATTTTTTCATTTAAAATTTTATTTTCTAATTTTTAAAAGATTTTGTCTGATAAATTACATTTACCTTATGAATAACCCTAACATTAATTAGCAGACAAAGTTCATCATCACACCGATAATTTTCAAAAGATTTTAGTAATAAAAAAAACACCAATAATGAGGTTGGGGTTAGGGTGGTAATACCTAATTAGTAAACATGGTGCATGCTACCATTAATCTCAACCAATAAGAAGATTTCATTTTGCTGAATTTATATAATGACGGGATTGGTTATAATTTAATGCTTATTTTGAAAGGAGAGATACCAATGTTATGTTTATAAATTATTTAGAAAGCCCAGTTCCGCCGCTACTTTAATGCCTGTTCAGCCTCAGCCCAGTCCATCATTCACACAGGCCTGCACAGGCTCACTTTAAAACCCAACTTTATTCGGCCCGCGATTTCTTAATCTAGTATAGATAATAAATAAAAGCCGAATGATGAAAACTGTTGCTTCATTTTAAATTTCCTGCAACGAGAGTGATTATAGGAAGGACATTTTGGTCTTCACAATTGCTTATTTTCTTATTTATTTATTCATAAAAAAGGCATGCACTGGGATTTGAACTTTGGTCTCTTTAAAGGCAAACAAGGATCATAACCAATCACACTAAGTATATTTGTTGTATCTATTTAAATTCAAACATACACGAACCTAAATTATGAAAATCATATGACTTTTTTAACGATTAGTTGGCCACTGAATCTCCCGTAAGTACTTATTTGGTGTTTTAATACTTTGATTATTTTAGTTGTAGTTTAATACTTAATTTAAAGTTCTATCTATTTTATAAATATACAATAACCCTAAAATTGCAGCCCAAATATCACTGGTTCGAATATTGCATATCGAATTGCAATATTAAACATGTAGAAGCAATATCGACTTCTTAAATTAATATTATTTTTCAGAATTACTATGGAGAAATTATATCTTTGTGCAAACTATATGAGACTGGTTCTTTTAATGTTTTAGTCGGGATAACCGCTACATTTTAAACTTCTTCATAATCTGGCATGATTGGATCCAATGATCATTATACAAGATTGTGTTTAATAGGGTGGCTCATTTCACCACTTTTTGGCGTGTTAATGAATTTGTAGGACAATGACAGGTCTACATCTACACTCATCACAATCTACACATCATATAAATGTGAAATGTGAAATGAGAAAAGAGGGATTCCATTTCAAATTTGATGCGTACAGAGCAATTTTTTAGGGGTAAATTTAGAAGATGCGAGTGCGGTCGGTCTGTTGAGCACGAAAGTAAAAATATGTTTTCATTTAAACGGACCCAAACTGTTATTTGGCCCACTAATCGTGCACCCATCGCCAATGCAGTCAAATTCGGGATTTTGATCGTAAAATCGTAGGATTTTAGGATTTTACTTAGGGATTCCGATCTTGATTTTACTATAAAATCGGTGGACCTTAAAATCGTTTAAAATCGGGACTAAAATCATAAAATAGTACCGAAATCGGGACTAATATTGGAAGTATGTAAGAACTAACATCATTATTAACTAATTAATTTATTAATGAATATATTTGTACCAAGCCACTAACATTACTTATTTTATTGGAGTTCAATTATTTTTAGTTTTAAATCATACTTAGTAGACGATGTCGAAATATTACTTTGAGTTAAACAACCTAGACATAACATGAAAATAAGAGCCAAACCCATGAACTATATCCCTTCATCATGAATTATTTTGAGTTACACATTAAATAACAATTAAAATAGTGATTTTGGAACATTAATCTTGAGAATTATCTTATGGAAAAAAAATCTTCTGAATTATCATTTTAAATGCTATGTGTCTTTGTGATATTAATAATTTACCTTATTAATGTTCTTATATGCTATGTTCTATATGGTACTTAAAATCCTACGATTTTACGATTCGATTATACGATTTTGATTTTACCCCAGTTTTCGATTTTAGGTAAAATCTCGATTTTAACTGCTTTGCCCATCGCAGCCTCTCCAAATCTTCCTATTCTACTCGCCGGGTCATCTCCTCCACTACAAAAATATCTCCTCATGTACTCAAAGTTCTCACTGAAACCTAATATCTACAACTTAGGCGCAGAGGGAGCAACCGATGGATTGTAGCGACCCCCACTATTTTGATAGCTAATCAAGAAGAGCGCGTTTGTTTAGTTGTATGGTGATTCACTTAATTAACAATTTTTATTCCGTTGACAGCCTCCTCTCCGCAATTGTATTGTGTTCACGAAGATCTGAAGGCGCAAGTGCAACAGGTCCAGGGGTAAACAATATGTATAAAGCGTTGGCCAAATTGAATTGAGTCATTCTACTTGGAATATGAAGATTTTTGCTTAATTGCTTTGGTTCGTGATGCAACTATGTTATGTTTGAAGGTAGACCAACGCAAACAACAGCACAGCTCCAGGGCTATTCTGCACATTAGGTAGTTGGGGCATTAATTGATAAGTATTTGGGATTATTCCGACAAGTACATAATTTGGAACGTGCCTTTATATTGCATTGATTAATAGTTGTTTGAGATTTTTCAAATGAGTGATTTGACATGTTAAACTCTCTTATTTTTGAAAATGGAGTCTTCGAAGTGGAATATGAAGATTTTGGATTAAGCTTGGTTTCGTAACGCCCTTATGGGTGTTTATTCTCTAAAATGCAGCTGTCTTTCAAAGTGCCCGTTGCAAATGGTAAGTCAGGATACAACGATGGTACCGGTACACGTTTATATAATTAGTAGGTAGCAGATTGTGTCCATTCTACTATATCATTTAGCTAAATACTTAGTTGTTCTTTTCAACTAAAAATTATGCTTAAATGCTGTGATTGGCCTCAGAAATGTATGTCTTTGCATTAACTGTTAATGATTGTGAGTTTTGGTTTAATGGTGAAAAGTCCATTTATTTAGAAGTCTAAATTGGGCAAACCTATTGGACAATAGGAATGCCATACATTAGTGTCGTGGGAGGTTTGTTTGATGTCTCAGGGTGTTAGATTTTTAAGAAGGTTGTTTGTTGTGGCAGAGAGTTCCTAAAGCTAGCGAGGTATTCCTATGTGGGCTTTTTCTTTGTTTGACTTTTTCTCGCCTTTTTTCTTATCTCTTTTTCTATTTTTGGTTTTTGTGTGCTACCTTCAGTTGCTACGTCTTCATTTGTGAGCCATCTATACTTTTCTTATTCAGTGCCTAAAAATCATATATACTCGATTGCATAGTAGTTACTAATAGATACATTTATACCAATAGAGAGATTTTAAGTTTTACAGTTGTTAGTTTTAATATTTACTTACATTGGTTGTTTATGTAGTTTTCTTTGTAATATTTCTCATTATACAACTAATTACTATGGCTACGTAGTTGTATAAGTGGAGGTTGGACATGATAGTTCTTAGAAGCATCAATACTTGAAGGTTATTATAATGACCAAATTCTAAAGTTATGGTTTGCCTTCAACTTGCTTGGAGCATTTCAATTATGCATCAATTGTTCTCTCCGTGTAGTTAACTCTCAGACAAATCGAAAATCTTGCCGATATGTGCTTGATTGTAGTTAAATTTAGGGTTCTATTGCATTGTTGCTTTACTCTTTTTTCGCGGTTGAGTCTGCTTCAAAAAATTTAGTTTGATTTTAGA